TGCACTATTTGTGTTAAGCTTTCAGCTGGCTGAAAAAAGAAAAAAGGACAGTAGCTAGCAGAGCTCATTTTTGGTACTCCTGTTCATCAGTTGATTATTTTAAATGAAGGGCTGCATCTTATTTGTATGTAGACCCATGTAGACCCAGAGTAACTCCACTGTCATCTGAGACCACAGACACATTTTGGCAGCATCTGATCTCTGCTGCTGTTGAAGGCAAAAGATACACAAATCTATTCCTAAATCTGGGCAACCTGCTGGGAGTCTAGTTTTGTGTCTACGAATCAGTGCTACCTTTGGCAATTGTGCCCTAGCATTAGGTTAAACCTCAACAATATTGTAAATTATTAAATGGAGTTGAACCAGGAAGTAAAATATATTAAAAAAATCCAATGGAAAAAATATAAAAGGAAAAAATTGCCAGGAAGGCATTTGTCATCTGTTGTCCCAGTGTTTATTAACTATAAATTACAGATGGCACTTTGAACATTTGGCATGCTGAAGAAGACTAGTTACCTTTGGCAAACAGAGTTCTACAATAATAAGAGAGTCAATTAACTAGCAACATTCATTAATGAAGTTGAAAACTGACATGCCAAAGATAATGTGCAGGGCTGAGCAGAATTACAGCACAGTGAGTGCCATTTGAAAAGCTGGCAGTTCTGATGTTCATCGGATGTAGAAAACGTTCATGTAAACAGGCATAGAGCCGAGATACATACTGAGTGCAGGAAGTAAAATCTGCTTAAAGAGTGTTTATAGAAAATCTTGAAAGGCAAAAAGCTTGGAATTACACTAGAAGCAGGTAGGGTGCAATTCTTGTACATTAATAGCTTAGGTGGACATAATGGAGTTACAGTGATTTAAACGTATTGGTGAAAGAAATCTATGGCCTATGATATTCTATATTTGCAGATATATAGTGGTATTTTCTAGAAAAGAAGAACCTGACCCTGAATCAGTGAAAACTTTCCTAGTGAACTCTATCATATAAACATGTAAGAAGTACCAGGCACATGTTGTGCTATTTAAGGGCAAGTAGGCAGTGGAATCAAAACTTTAAGCCAGGCCCTTTTATAAAAGTAGTATGTCAAATCAGAATACCACTCAGACTCAGTAATGTTTAGTAACTGAATCTAGCCTCCATCTTTCCCAATACACAATTGATACCAGAGATATATAACCTACAGAGGTCCACCAAACATCCAAGCTCACTGTCCAGCACAATGTCATAGTCTGTGGAACACTTTCCTTGACCTGCTAAATACTTAAGACATTGAAAAGCTCAAAAGCCACAGTTCCGGAGTGCTGCAGGCAGTATGTCCAACAAGCTTTAAAGAACATGAAATTAACATTCCTGTATCATCCTCACAAGCAGACCACACACCAGATTCCAGGGTGGGGAAAAAAACCCCTGCAGATCTGAACTGGGAAGGAATATTCCTACTAACTTCCATCTGGTGACTGCCAACAAAACACAATGGAAATAAGTAAAAAAAGAAGGTTGGAGAAATAAGGCTGAAGCTTGCAGGCTTGCTGCTTGTAAGTCTGGGTTGAGTGGCAACAGGACAACCCCCAGGGTTCACTTAACAATATAGCATTAGGGTTTCTAAAGGTCTCACTGCTGTTAACTCATGTTTAAGCCTAAGTGACTCTAAGGCTGGCTTTCTTATAGGTGTGACAATAATTACCATTTTAGTATTTATGTTGTAAGGCAAAGAAAATATTTTATTACTCTGGGTCTACTTGGTGGTTTCCATGCTAGAAATGCTCACCTGCATGTGTATTCACTGAAATACAGAGTTATTAGGAATATCAAGACCTTGTAAAAATAAAAGGATCTTCAAGTTGTTAAATTCTTGTTCACTGTAAGCATATAAAGTGAATTATTTTAAACTTTATAATACTTTGATTGATTTAGAAACTGCAGTTGCCCATACAAGGTAATTCTGCAGTTAATGGCCAAATCCACAATTTTTTGATATTTCACTTTAGGAAATAAAATTTATTTTGCTTCTAAAGAAAATAAGGGCATAATGAAATCAGATTTAAGCCCATGATATAACATGTTGCACTTGGTTCACTGGTAAAAACCTTCTCAGTATTTAAATTCTTTGTAACATGTCAGTTTTTAAAATGAAACATTTTACATTTTCTCCATTTAGTTAGCATCCACTGAGATTCACCAATTTGTTATCCATGTACTTACCACATAAATTCATGAAAACTATATAAGTAGTTGTGATAAATCAGACCCAAAGCCCCATTACCTGCTGTCAACTAGCTTACCCAAACATTGTTTTACTTTTCTACATACATGGCTGAAGAGGAAAGAATTAGCCTGGAAAAACGAGACTTTCATATGGGAATAGGACTTGCACCTGTCACTGGAAATCTGCTTATTAATATGTCCATGCTAGCATTTCACTCATACTTAAAACCCAAAACACTGCTTTTAAACTCAGAGAAGAGAGAAATGAGCGTTTCCAATAGAGCAAGACCCTTTGTGCTTGACCCAGAAGGATGGTGAATCCATCAGCTCTCTCAGAGCTGAAAATACTCTATAGTTTGCAGTATTAAATCTTAGGAGCCCCAGTTCCCAAGCACTTTAGAACAAGAACAAACTTATCTGTTTTCTGTAAGGAACATAGGAGCCTGCTTCACTTCACTGACTTATTACAAGAGGCAATATGAAAGCCTTGGCAAGTCAGCTAGGATACATGCATTTTGTGTGCACTGCAATCCTGAAATCTTAGACCACGGAGTATATTATTTATTTAAAACTTATTGCGTGATATGTAGCAAACCAGGGACTGATCCTATAGTCATGTTCCATAGTACAATTCTCATGGGAGCCCAAGAGAATTCTGCTTGTGTTAAGGTGGGGAAGTCAGCAAATGCATCACATTGCCTGTTTAAAAGTTTTTATAGACGCTTGTTAAATGAAAGGTTTTCTAATTTCATTTCTGTAGATTCTGGACAATTTTGAAGTGCGTAATTATTTTTTTACTAAGCATTCTAAATACATTACTTGCAAATTAATTTCAAATTTACTTAGTTTTGTCTCCAGGTTTAACATCCTTGTCTTATGTAGCTAGAGCTGCTGTCTTAGCATTTCAGTGCACACAGGAAAACAATTTACTGAATGAGCTGATGAAAAATCCCAGAGTAATTTAGTATAATATTCATTAGGCCTATTTAGGAAACAGAAATTATACAGCCCTGATGTCATACCAATAATGTCCATCATCTACATCAAACAAATATGAAGAACAGTGGCTTTTTTTCCAAGAACATTTGATTGGCTTAATCTCCTCAGCACAGTCATACAAGATCATGACTTGCCTATTAATGTTCTTATTAGCTCAGTCTAATTAATGTCAAAGGAGATCACGCATTTTCTGAATGTGTTGCCAAGGAAAGTTAAAGAAAGGACACGTGAAATGCAGTGTGTGGATGGATCTGGGTGTTTATCACAAAATAAAATGTAAATCTGTCAAGCTGCAGACTGAAACAAATAATAGCAGTGAAAATAGTTTCTAGCTTGAATCTCAGCAATGGATTATAAATTATATTAAAATATAATTTATATATAAATTATATATGTATTTATATATACTTCACGGAGAAACTGCTTGTTAGAAAATGTCTCGTGGACAGAATTACATTAGCCAGTCACAGTTTTTGTAGACAAAACGTTAAATGTTTAATGCTTGTGCTAATTACAGTCTTTGAGAACAGAACACTAATACATTTTGAAGTTGCAAAGGATTGTTTTTAACTTCTGTATAAGTTAGAGCCTCATAATTTGTTAGAGGAAGCTGTTACTTTCTAAATCCAGGAATAAGTAGTATGCAGGTAGGAAGGAGTATTATTTTTCCTCCCCATATCCTGTGTTTTTCAAAGCAGAGCATATGTATTTATATATGTGTATATATGTATATATATATATTTTATATATGTATGTATATGTATTTATATATAAATTGACTGTATAAATTATATTAAAATATAATTTATACAGTCATAGTCTATCTTGGCATGAAAAAAATCTTTTAACTACTCTTTAATTTTTCTTCCTGTACAATAGAAAGAAAAAAATCAAAATGAAAATCTAGAACAAGTTCTACTGATGTTTATGTCTATAAGAAATGTTATATAATAAATCATCAACCTCTGTTTGTTATTAGAACAGCACCTTTTGTGGCTACCTATTAACTGCTGGCCATTGTATGTGGCCTTCTGTATTGACTACATTCAATCTTCATCTAGTGTCCTTTGCTATATACTGTCTGTAGTGACATGAGAATAGTGTATATTCTTCTACTGTGATAAAGATCTTATTACTTCCTAATAGCTTTTAAAAGTATGTTCTGACATTTCCTTTAATTCTGCATTTTGGCTATTTATAGCATTTGCTACATGTAAAGCACTGTTTTCACCCAGGAATCCCTTTTCTAAATTGACATAATGTTAAACTCATTTGACAAATTCTGCTCCTAACCACATGGGTGTATCATCAGTTTCTCCTCTAAGGAGCAGAGTGGTAATGCTGCACTTGCAGCCCTGTGTCTGGGAGCAGAATTAGCTGCAACATGTTTGTAAGTAATTGAAGTGGAGAAAAGGGCAGCTACAACTTTTGTAGCTCTCCAGGCAAGTATTGAAGGGTCTGTACTTATACAGGTACTTATGACTCAACCCTCTTGTTTATTCATGTGCAACTCCACTGTGGCTCCTTCCTGCAGGGGCAGTTCTCAGGGGCTTCCTGAAAAAGTCTTCCCAGGATCCTTAGCCTGGGAGGTTCATGGTCATATACAGATAAAAAATGCATCCTTGTGGCTGCAGGGGCAATGGAAATGAAGTGAAAAGTCTACACAGATGTTCTTATCCATTGAAAAAGCTCATTCTGGCTCAACTGGCAAGTAAGCAGCAGTGGTCCCTAGCAGCTGCCAGTAGCTGAAAAGGCACAGAAGAAAAGGCGCAGTTATCCCGGGACTGACCTATGCACACATTTTCATCGTCCAGCTCTGCAGAAGCATTTCTGAAGTAGCCCAGCCTGCATAACTCACAGTGCTGACCTCTAGTGTTGTGCTTACAGCTCACGCAAATGACCGTATTGAGCAGCTCGATGTAACTGCACCGGTTGGAGTGCCCGAAGCATTCACAGTCTTTCAAGGAAGAACAGAAATGTATACCAAATGTATGCAGCAGCAGAGTAACAGCACATTACATGCTTAGTAAAAATGAACCATGAATAGAAATATGAATGAATGGCGCATACATGTTCATCAATGTAACATGGACAACAGCAGATGTTTATCTGCAATGAAAGCGAAGTTTATTTCAGGCAGGTTAGCGTGACCCGACGACCACAGTGTGATGTTGAAGGTTGGCTGTTGTTGGCAGACCTGATGGGACTGAAGCATTTGCAGTTGTAAACCTTTCAGGGCTCCTGGAGGCTCACTTTCCACTGATAGAAATGCACTAGTTTTTGCACTTTTGAGATGAGTACAAATCAAGACATGGGGAAAACTTCCTCATATTGAATAAAGTGGACAAATTTGTCAAACTTTGTGTTGCTTAAATCCACAACTATAAGTACAATAAAAGCTAAAAGCTTCATTCTGACATATGTGGTGGGTATTTAAAAATACTCCTGAACTCTCAGGGTACTGCAGCTGGTAGGCACCTTGGGAACCAGACTGTTTTCTTTCAAGACCAAACAAATCACTAGTTTGACAATTTTGGCCAGCACCTCCTAAAACAAAAACAGAGAAAAGGAAAGTAGAGCAATATTATCTAATAGCTACTCCTACAGTACTTCTGAGGTAGGCATTAACCCATCCTTATATTCTGAGATGAAAAACAATTGGGCAAGAATAGATCATGAAAATTCTGAAATGTGTACTGAAGAGAAAGCATGATTTCTACAGCCATCTGAAATGCAGCTGGCACGACAGCCACTTTTTAAAACGCTTTCATTAAATGTAGAATGCTTGCGTCTTTAGTCTTTAATCAGAAGAAGTGCTTGGTTTTATGCAGAAAGAAGTAGAAATTACAAACATATCAATATCAGCTTGGGTAAGTCTAATCACTCAACTCTGTGATTATGAGCCCAGAATGAATGCAGGAAAGTTTATTAGGATGATCAGAGTAGTAGAGGGCCTATTTAAAAAGTGAAGACTAGCATAATTTGGCTTGTTTAGTCAGGAAGCTGAAGACATGGGATATCACTGGTCTATAAATCTATCAAGGAGATAGCCTTCTGCCATCCTAAGTGAGCATCTGTGCTAATGGACAACACTGGCACAAGAACAAATGGGTGTTAACCGGCCATTGAGAAACTGGAAATTAGGAGATGCTATCTAGCTATTAGGGCACTGTGTTTCTTCAACATTTCCAATTTGTAGCAAAAGCACTGATGCTTTAGAGCTGTAGTTTATTAACTGGTGAGAGAGATTATGGTATGTTTCCTGCAGTAATGCACTATAGGATGCAATGACTTGAAAAGGCTTCAAGGTCCTGAAGTTAATTTAGACAGTCCTGAAGTTAACTTAGTCTGTAATTACATAAAACTGTAGCAGAGGTGTAAAATATTTCCATACATAATGGGGCCCAAGTCCCCTGTGCTGCTTTTCCTACATTATGCTGCTGATTATGCTAGGGCACCTAATGAGCCCACTGATGGTTGTCATAGGACATGTATTTTTATAAATAAAAAGCAATCCTGGTACATGTTTATGAGTATGTTATACAGACCTGCTGTTTTCTGAGGTAGCAGACTGTAAATAGCATCTTTTCTTATCCTGTACAATGCTTAGCACAACGTATGTTTAAATGTTGAGAAGTGCCTTTCTGCTGCCAGGAAGCATGAAGTTAATTTACATATACAGATTTAGTTAATATATGCATTCTTGTTCTCTTCAATGTTACACTGCTAAACTAATGTTTTGTGGTTCATGTCAATCTGAGAATTTTGGTGCCTTTAACTGCTGAAGTATAGTGAAACATTTGGTGTCTCAGTAAGTTACCACTTGATGTAAATGAGAGGGAGGAAGACAGCGTTCATGTTTATTGTCTTTTGCAGCTGGTTGGTATGATTCAGCATCTCAACCAGCCACCCAGCAGCATTTCTACCCTTGTATATCCATCTTGCTCAAGTAAAAACTGCTTGTGTGGGACAGAGGCAACAGATCTAAAAGTGGAACCTAGCACTAGCAGACAGAAATCACAGGGAAAATTGACAGTAAGTTTTTTGTGTTTCATTTTTAAAATAAGAAACATTGCTTCATAATAAGGAATCTGATCCTTCTGAATCTTGGATTCAGAAGCAATGCTGCCTTAGTTCCTCTGTCTGACAAAGGACCTGTCTTCTGCTACCACTGGACAATCCGCTTTGTTGAGATGACACCACACTGTATATTTGTCACACTTTTGACTAAACATAAACCATACTGCAGGTGAGTTTAGAAGAAATAATTTACCTTGTTTTTTTGAATCAGTAACAGGCAACAGAATATTGCATTTTTAGGTTTCAAAATTATGTATGCTATAAAGAAGCAGAAGTAAAGCAGACTATGCTACATCATCTTTCGTGTTTGAAGTAGCAGAAAGAAATTGAGAATATTCTGTGAATGAATGATTACATTGCTTCCACTCTGAAATTGATATAACCTTCAATAATATTCCTACTACACAGAGTCAGCTATTAAAAAAGCACAGAAAAAAAGCTGCACATAAAGTAATTCACTGCGTCACAAGGGTTGGTCCAAATTATGATTTGGACTCAAGAAAGATCTGGTAACTACAAATGACTTAGTTTGATGTACACACATGCTCCTAAACATACGCAGAAGAACTACCCAAGTTCAGACGTGGCTCATCAACATTAAAAGTAAACAATGAGGCCATTGTTGGTTGCATTCCTATTGGATGTCACTCTTTTGAAACAACTGTGCTGTGTGAAAGAAAGCATTTGTCTCAAAGTTAACTTACACTACCATACAGGAAAGCTCTAGGAATCTTGATCATCAGACTGGTAAATACTACATGGCATAGGAAAAAACCCAGTTCACTCAAAACCAGTGTAACCTCCCATCAAAGATCAGCAGTGGCACAAAGGAAAAAAAAGCATGGCAAGTAGTGATTAATTTTTTTTTTTGCTATTTTTGCTTCCTTCCCCATATCAGATGAAATTATTTTGCTTACTGCTATTAGCCTAATCTGTGAATAATTTCTTCATCCCTCTCTATTTATAAAAAATATAATGTAATGGGCCCTCATATGACTGAGATAAATTATTTTCTCCACTGCCTACATGAGGTGCTACCCTAAACCAGCCAAACAGAACACGTAGAATGGCAGTCGACATCCCTCCTGCAGGGAAGCTGATACCTGGCCATGCCGCATGGCCTTTCTAGCTCATGTGGTTCCCCTTAACCAGCACAGCAAGACCAGAAATTATTAGACTTGGCAGCAGCACAGCTTAAGGTTTTGAGGCACGTCTCTGGCTAGCAGCCCAATCACTTCCATGCACTGGCAAAGCCATGCAGTTGCTGAAAGTGACTGGGGAAAGTATCCAAATCAGGCTGCAAATGGTTTACCAACAGTGATATGACATGAGTTTACAGCACTGAGTACCATGTGCCAGAAAAGATACAGATAAACTGGAGACAGTTTAAAGCTGAATAACAACAAGGAGTAAATGGTTTGGAAAACAAAACCTCAAAGGAGAGGTAAAGATAGCTAGACAGGTTAAATGTGAAGGAAAAAGGGAGAAGAGTTAGCCATGTTAGATCTGATAATTTTTTTGAGATGTTTCAGGAATTGTCAAATCCCTTGCCAATTCACAGAAATATTGACTGTATGCGCCTTTACAGAGTATTTCCAATGCAATGAGTCTATTGCAATACTCTTCATTCAGTTGTAGAAAGCGTGACAAAATTACCCATTGAAGGAGAATCACAAAGAGATTAACAATTCCCCCCCCCCCAAATACTTTTTTCCCCTGTTAAAATGCTATGCAGTTACATCTTTGAGGTGACATACTGTTGTGCTGTGGCATGTGCTGAAGGCATCAGCTGTGACCAATAAAACGTCATCACATGAAACAATAGTAAACACACATGGAAGGGAAGCATAATTTTTAAAATAAGACAGGTAATGCATGAGACAGATATTAGTGTCATTTCCTAATTAGAAGCACAAAAAGTATTTCAGTCAAGGTGTATTCAAAATAATATTTTTTTTTTTTACATTTTTCAGGAACTTTGTGTTCCTCTACATACTAACAAAAGGCAAACAAAGATGATTTTATTGTACCCTCAGAAATCACCTGCTTCATAGCAAACAGTATGGCTTGTTATGATCTCATTGAATGGGCCAACTAAGGTAAATAATTTCTGAATATCCTTATTCCTTGTTAATATATTAATATTAATGAATAGTGAGATATTCCCAATAGCTACAGAAAGAGAAAACATGTTTATACATACTCCTTACAGAAAAATTCATGAGGAAAAACAATTAGAAGATCTCAGTCTTCAGACTGTGAATGACAGATATGCAAATGACACATGTTGTATGTAAGTCAGAGTGAACACTGGCATCCTTCATGATGCTCAGATAATTCCATTATTTTGATAAGACACTGAATCATCATTCAAGATGTAATGCCTACAGTCTGAATCTGCACACTCTTAAAATGAAGATGTAATGCCCATTTACAGTGCATTAAAAGATATAACTATGCATTATACTCCATGGCATTTACAGATTCTCCTTTAGGATATGGACAATGATGTTTAATGTCTTGCTTGCCTTCACATAATCTGCTTACGTATGCTTACAATTTATGTGTATCAGTGAGGAAAACAAGACTCTAGCAAACATTTGCTTTCTAGGCAACAATCTGAATGGTCATATTCATACATGAAGCTGCTTTAAAAAAATGTCATGTCACTTTATATGCCAGCAGTGACTGTCTAAGAAACACATTTATTATTTTCTTTGTATGACTTATGTTTATGTCACTTAATGCTTCTGTTGTTGTCAATGAAGATGCCTCACCAGAAAGGTGATGGATACACTTCACAGATACTCCAGATTCATACAGTGCAATGTTTTCACAACACAGAGCACTATGGAGTCACTGTATGAATCCAAGAAT